AAAATATGAAAAAAAAAAAGAGTCTTCATGTAAATATTCCGTAGAACAGACCTTGTAATAGAGTTGTTATATTAATTAATTAAATTCGAAATTACTATGAAAACTTATTCATTATATTATCAAAAATAAAAATATATAATTTGCAAATTGTCTGTGCAAATATAGGTAGTTAACAATAAACAGCAATTATGAAGCTCAATTGAAACTTTTAATTTGAATGACATTGTTACGGCACAGCGAACTTCACGCTGACTGCCCAACTATTACGCCAGTTATAATGGAGTGCATGCAATTATTGTTCCGCTTAATCATATACTTTATGCATAACACTCTCGAATCTCCATATAATTGCAGTCTATCTAATGTGCGTATCGTGCTGCTGGTCCGAGATCCGCGGGGCACAATGCAGTCTCGGCGTCATCGCGTCTGGTGTGCGGGCAACGAGGATTGCGAAGATCCCGCGCTGGTCTGTCAGGATCTGGTCGATGACTACAGGACGGCGGAGAAACTGCTGAAAGCATATCCAGGACGTTTTAGGTGAGTTTACATTGACTATTTTATTTATTTTTTATAAATTATTATTTTACTTGCCTCTTCTTCCCCCATAGAACTTTGCGTTATGAGGATCTCTCGCTGAATCCGTATGACATGACTCAGGATATTTTACAGTTCTACGGACTGCCTTTTGATCCGGCTGTCGAAGAATTTCTGGATACTCATACCAAGGAGAACAAGGGCGGCGTTAGTTCCACATATCGTGATTCCAGATCGGCGCCATTCCACTGGAAACAGGATCTCAGGGCGGAGGAGGTAGGCCGAGTAAATTATCTATAAATTTATTATACATTTTTTTTACATATATTAATTTTCTGATTTTCCAGATCAAACAAATTCAGGATGTCTGCACGGAGGCCATGGATCTGTGGGGTTATCGGCGCATGGCGAATTTCAGTAACTTTTCAATGCTACAGCAGAGCTTCGATCCGATTGTGCTGCCGCCACCATTTACGTGAATCGATTCGTGGCAATCGATAACTGATAACGATAACTAATTCTTCTACTTGGTACATTTTGTTGTGATATCGTCGTGTTGAGCGAGCAAAAAGGAAATGAAACAAAATTTATTTAAACAATATGAAGAGTCGATTTATAGCTGGCGCAATAATTCATTTAATATTATAATTTATTTAGCTATTGTATTTCATTTTTTTTTCTTTCTTTTTTTGCTGTTGCTAAACACGCAAAACACACTTACTGAGCAATAGTTAATACCACATACGATAACTATATACACATTTACAATATA